GGGCCCTAAGGACTGGGGCTCTGTGCCCCAGTTCTGGTTGGTGGGGGGAAAACTCCACCCTGCAACACACCAACCCTCTGGGTCCAATACCCTGCCCTGGGTCGCTTCCTACCTCCCCTGCCGAGTCGCTGCGATGGCCTTGTCCGGGGATCTCCTTAAGGACAGCTCATGATGCCTCCGCCAGGCCTCCCGGCGGTTATCCTCCTCCGGCTCCGCCACGCTACGCTCCGCTCCTCGGGGTCCGTGCCTCCATGCTGGTCAGCTCTCCTGGGCTCTCTGCCTCGGTCTCTCTCTCTCTCTCCCCCTCTTGTTACTGGCAGGGGCGCCTCATTTAAGTGTCCCGCTGCTGCTACGGCTCGTGCGTCGGGCGGGGACCTCCTCAGCTCCTCCCGACATCCCCCACCCTTCGCTGGCTCCGCCCCTGCCGAGGGTGTGCGTGCGCCGCCCTGTGCTACGGCGATTTGCCGGCTCCGTGGCTTCCCTGCCCCACCGGGACCAGGGATGCTTGGACCGTCCCTGCCAGCCGCATCCCGGTGCCCTCCCCTGCCCGTGGCGGAGCAAACCAGGCAGGGCCGGAACCAGCGCAGGATCGCTGCTTCTCCCCAACACGCGGGGGATGGCACCGGGTTTGTGTGGGGCGCGGGTGCTGCCCCATCGCAAGCACTCTCTGCATAAGGCAGCAGTGGAAGGATACAGCTATGTGCCAACACTTTATAGGTATATTATTATTAGCTAACAGCAGATTTCTTCTTCCCTTGCCCAATGCAGAGTCAGTGTGGCTGGCAAGAGGCAAGAATCTGCCTGGAGCCAGTTGCTTAGATGAACAGCTGGTTATGATCTAAGGGAGGGGAGACAAGCAATTTGCCTTGTTTCTTCAGTGGAGAGCTATTTTCCCTCCCAAGGTAAATGGCTTACGGTTGCTTAGCCTGTAAGCTTTTGAAGATCCATTACTTCCTCTGACGCTGTAGCAAGCAAGAGTAGGTCACAGTGCACTAGCAGGAGCACAGGGCCCACGAAGCCAGTGAATGCAAGGCAGGCTGGTGTGCAGCAGATTTACTCTCCACCTTGCTGTGCACTAACTTTGTAGACAAGCCCCTGCTGCTACTTTAATCAAGCCCTCAAGCGCTGTTGAATGCCCTTTGTACTGCTTCCTCATCCGTTCCAGGCTTGCGCTTGTTCTGAAACATGGAGTGTCCCCATAGAGCAGCAACCATGAGGCTGATTCAGTCCCCCTGGGTTTAATTAGCTTCACTCAGTGCCTTTTCCCCCCGCACACTAGGGAGCCCAGCTTTTACAGGTGGTTTGTTCAGCTCAGTAATGCACGTTCAGTGATGCGTGAGGCAATCCAGGAGGGATATTTTGGTTAAACAGCAGGAGCTGTAAGGCTGAAACATACTGGTGCCATCGCTGCTGTGGCTAAAAATTCAAGGTTTTTGTGTTGTTGTTTTTTAAAGTGGATCTAGGTAAATGTCTACTCATTTATCCATTTATCTAGGATCTAGGTAAATGTCTACTCATCACACTAAGAAATGGGAAAAATGTGCTGAGCTTGCAAGAAAGTTTAATCACTTACCTGAAGGTAGAGAGGATTCAGTGCTTTAAAGAGAAGGAGGTGCTCTTGAGGATGAAATGGTTATGGGAACCATTACCAGCACCCCTGTGCTGAGCCAAAGGCTTCTGAAGTACAATCTGCTCTGGGTCTCACCCCATTAGCTTCAATGCAGCTTTGTACCCATTCACTTCCCCAGGTTTTTTTTCTTTCCATTGTAATTACTAATAGTAGCTAGTTGGACTCGCTGCTATGGCACCTCCTGTTGGTCAGTCTGGGAATTAGCTCAGTTTGTTAGCACAGAGTCAACAAGGGAAGACCACTGTGGTCAACAAGGGAAGACCACTTCGGTAAACCTCATTTCAGCTGATCATCGGCACAGCGCGGCAGCCATTTTTATTTTAATGAAGCGGGGATTATTTAAATCCCCGCTTCTTTGCCTATGCTGAATAAACTATTTTACATGGCTCCGTCGACAGAGCCATGTAGTCTAGACATAGCCCATGAGTCAACTCTTCTGTCTTGCTAGTCAGGAAGAGATTCCTCTTTGCTTTACTGAGCTGCCCCTTTATATATGGGCATCCCCAGCATCCTTCTGGTTGGCTCCCTATAAGCCCCTTACTGATTGGCTGGGCTCTGCACAGTCTTCCTCCAGCCTGCTTTAGCCTCTCTTTGAGGAAGTGGGGCAGCTGCCCTGGGCTCTGCACAGTCTTCCTCCAGCCTGCTTTAGCCTCTCCTTGAGGAAGTGGGGCAGCTGCCCCACTACACTAATAAGTATTTCTTCATCGCAAAGTTCTTTACAAACTATACCCAGGAATACTTGATTCACCACTCAGGTTCAACTACCTCTGGCATGAAATAGAGCAGCTGTTTCATACTGCACAACATCATTGAATTGCCTAGGACAGAAGGCAAAAAACAAAAGTTCAAATTTTCCAAAGGGATAACTGATTTTTGGGTGCCTACTCTGAGACACACGAGTGAGTTCTGATTTTCAAAAGATGCTCAACACTTTCTGAAAAATCAGGCCTCTCTAAGATGTCTGAAGTTGAGCACTCCAAATCACTAATTTTTGAAAATATAGGTCATAATGGACACATTGAACAAGAGCAGTCTGATTTCCATTCTACCTATACGTAGGCATATTGGAGTCCAAATATGGTGGAGAGACCAGCCTTAATGTACCTTTTCTGTCTCAAACTGCTATTGAATTTTACATGGCATGTGGTCAAGCCCTCTCTCTTTCATATAAACAAAGACAAGCAGCTCTGTAACACACCCTCCCACAATTGGTAGCTAATTAAGACTCAACCACTACATGTCCATCACCAAGCAGTTTCCTTCACCAATATTCATCGAAGTCCTGAGCAGGCCCCAGTTTTGCCGACTGCAAGTAGAGCTACTGGAAATTTAAAAAAGGTTCATCAGAATCCCAACATTTTAATTTAAAAAAACTGGGGAAAATAATTTCATTACTTTTTAAAAGCCATTTCTAGTTGTAAGATTGGATTGCAGTAAAACCGGGTAGAGCTGAATGCTTAAATAGAGGGATGACAAAGAACAAAAAGGAATTAGCTATTTATGGGGGAGGAGTTACACTATTGCTGCTTTTGATACAATGTTGAGAATTGGATTCAGAAAGCAAATCTAATTAAGTAACTCCCTCCCTCCCTCCACTTCCACGGCTCCCCTTGGCTGGAAAGAGGGAAATGGAGCCAATGAGAGCTGCAAGGCTACATGGCGAGGGACTCTTTAGGTAAACTGTGGTTTGTAATCTATCCTTTAAATCTGTACTTAATGACTGGCAGATAGCTAATGTGATGCCAATATTTAAAAAGGGCGCTAGAGGTGATCCTGGCAATTACAGACTGGTAAGTCCAACGTCAGTACCAAACAAATTAATTGAAACCATAGTTAAGAATAGAATTGTCAGACACATGGATGAACATAATTTGTTGGGGAAAAGTCAATATGGATTCTGTAAAGAGAAATCACGCCTTACTAATCTACTAGAGTTCTTTGAGGGCATCAACAAACATGTGAACAAAGGGGATCCAGTGAATATAGTGTATTTAGATTTCCAGAAAGCCTTTGACAAGGTCCCCCACCAAAGGCTCTTAAGTAAAGTAAGTTGCCATGGGATAAGAGGAAAGGCCTTCTCATGGGTTGATAACCGGTTGAAAGATAGGAAACAAAGGATAGGAATAAATGGTCAGTTTTCAGATTGGAGAGAGTTAACTAGTGGTGTCCCCAAACAAGGGTCTCATCCTGGGACCAATCCTATT